TTCTCACAAGTTTGAATACTGAATCTACTCTTAACATAATATCTTAAACATTGTCTTGTGAAAATTTGAAAAATGTTATAATATATAAATGCAAACACTTTAAAAAAAAACAAATATGTGAAATAATGAATCTATCTAAAGGAAAACAATTTGTAGTATGCAAATGAGTATTTACAATAAAGTACAAGGCACATGGGATGATAGAAAGATACAAAGAAAAAATGATGGCAAATGATTATACATTAAACTTATGAGATAGACTACTAGAAGAATTTTGCACTAATAGCCAAAATGAGTACTATGTGAATCATGTTATCATTACCGGCTCACTTTGATTAGTAACTATAATAATTCGATGTAAGAAAAATCTTCTTTCATGGAGACTTAGAAAAAATATATCTATGGATATTCCACCAGGTTTTGATAAAGAAACAAGACCAAATAAGGTAAAGCTAACGCCATTTAGACTCAACCAATTCCAAGAACATGGTTTGGCAGGTCCATAAGGATGATGATAAGCCTGAGATTTAAATAGTCTCAAGAAGACAACATTTTATTTATCAAACACTCAAAGATAGGAGGAGTTACAAGCCTCTTAATATATATTGATGATATTATTAAAATAAAAGATTATGAAAAAGAAAAATTGATACTAAAATAGTGCTTGACAAGAGAATTCGAAGTCAAATAACTTGGAAAGTTGAAGTATTTTCTTAAAATTGAAGTCGCCCTCCCAAAATTTAGAATCTTCAGTTCTTAGCATAAATACATTTATAACCTGTTGGGAGACACTGGCTAGTTAACATGTAAACCAGCTGTAACTCCTATTGACCTCAACCACAAATTAGGGATAGCAGAAGAAGATATGTCAGTCGATAGAGTATTATACTAGAGATTAGTTGAAATATTGATATATCTATCTCATATGAGATCAGACATCGCCTATTGTATAAGTGTTATAAGTGAGCTCATGCACAACCCCAAAAAAAGTACACATACAAATAGTCTACAAATTACTACATTGCCTAAAAGCATCACCTGGAAAAAGAATTATGTTCAGGAAGAGTAATAGATAGTTTTTAGAAGTCTATATAGATACAGATTATGTAAGATCAGTTGTAAACAGAAAATCTACCACCGGATAATATACCTTCCTTGGGGCAATCAAATTACCAAGAGAAGTAAGAAGTAAATTGTAATTACTAGATCAAGTGCAGAATTAGAATTCCCAGCAATGGTACAAGTAATATGTAAATTATTATGATAAAAAAAATTTTAAAAAATTTAATAATTAAGCTGAAAAACCTCATTCATATTGTCTGTACATCTGGATGCACAAATTGCATAGTATCATAAATAGCCACTCCAGGTATTACCCATCCGCCAAGAGAGTTTATAAACAAAGAAAGATCTTTGGTATCACTCTCTATACTGAGATATACCATAAGACCAATAAGTTGATTTGAGATTTCGCTATCCACCTGAGGAAGCAAGGGATGCGGTA